TCCTCTTGAGACTGTGTAAAGCTATGTGCCCAATTTCTCTGAAGCTCGAGAGTAAGCTTTAGCAGAATAATACTGTTTGGATGGCATCTGTTTGGATGTCAGACTCTCTTTCGATCGAATCTGGTCTAACCCCCACCTTCTCTTTCTTTTTTATTTAATTATCATTTAGAACGTTGGACTCAAAGCTCAATAAATTTCTAGAGCTTGCGATTTTCAATCCAACTTGCTATTTCTTGATTTTTGAGGTATGAAAACCTGCATTTTGCATTTTATTTTTTTAATACAATTCTTCGGTAGAATGTCTCTGATCATGAAGTTTTTTATTTTAATTGGATGGTTTTCAATAGTTGTCTTAAAGAGCTTACAATCGCAACAATCTGAATCGACCATCTTTGAATGTATCAGATTTTTTCAACGTTCGAACAACTTTACCATCAATTGACCACTTTATGAATTCTGGTTGCCAGTCAATTGTATAATTATGAAAAGCATCTGTGAAAGCTGGAGAAACGGGATGAATTCCTCCATGGACCCCATATTCGATAATTCCATCATGATTCTCTGTTGGCATCACTTACAAAAAACATCAGTTGAATCGACTTGTGGTAAAAGGATTATTAATTCTTGTATTTTTTAAACAAGCTTTCCAAAAAGTTAGACCTTGATCAGTCCCTATTTTCAGCAGAGATTTTTATTTGTAAATTTATATACATAATAGAGACGAATAAAATTAGTATTTGTATAATAATATCTTGATAAATTTTAAATTTATAGATTTTTTTATTTTGCGAAAACGCATACTGTTCGTTAAAAAAAGAAAATTATTTTTGTGAGGTTTTGCGTAAAAATAACCGTTAATTTTTTTGCTATTTAACGTCCATGTGTCAAATTCAATAAAATTTATATGATTTCGTTAATTTATAGATTTTGGTCCTCTTCAAAACATCCTATAAAGTATCATTTATGACTATTAATCGCATTAAAAATATTTTTTCTTTAAGAATGCTCGGATCTAATGGATATTTTGCCCTTTAATCATTTGGGATGACAAAAACAAAGTGTCATTGTTACTAAAAATGCAAAAAAAGTACGTAATATAGAAACTTCAATCCGAATTCTTGTACTGTGTTGTGTAAACAATAAAAATTCATGCTTATTTGGAAACAAAAGTAATCCAAAACCAAGCTGAATTCGAGATAAAGTAAATATTATTTTAGACCCCATTATCGGGAATGTCATGATTTGATTGCTATTTAAAAGATGATTTGGAAACATTATTTATATTCATACATCCGCCCTAAGAAATTATAATTCAGGACCAAATACTTTTAGTTTGATGAATATAGATTAATTCAAATATTTGACACATTCATTCAATGTCTTGACCCATCTGATAAAAATGGTTATCTAGACAATAGATGATGGCTTAATCATACTTTTATCAAAGAGTTTGAATTGAATCCTTTACAGAAAGCAATGAGACTTTAGACTTCGATACATTTCTCAAACATAAATGGCTACCTCGAAATGCTCGGCCTCGAGTTTCAATTGGAGTAAGGAGGATTAGCAAAAGAGTATTTAATATTAATAAGTATATTGGAGATTTCAAGATATTCACAAATGTTCAGGTTAAAAATATTTATTATATTCAATCGTAGAATCTTTGTTAAGGTTTTTTTTAGTACGAGAAATTTTTTATAACAAAAAACGAATTTATAATAAACGATTTATTTAATAAACATATATTTCTTCTATCACATTATTATTTGTTGAATGAAATTCACGAGCTTACACTTGTTGGCATTCATTAAAGAAACACAACCGATTTATTTTTGATCCCATTAAATTCATCAAAGAACGGAAAATCTCTTCAAATTGTAGATTTATGTGTATATATATATTAAATAAATATTTTAAATAAATATTAAATAGAATGCTTTTTAATGATGGATTTTATTTATTATTACATATAGTCATATAATATATTTGTTACTAAATTAATTAACTCGTAATTTTTTTTTCGTATGCATAGAGGTCAATCCAGACAGTTCTACAAAAGTAAGTTTATAATTTTTATTATTTTTTTAAAATCTAACTAAACGAAAAGTAAGTTTATAATTTTTATTATTTTTTTAAAATCTAACTAAACGAATTAGTTAATAGTTTCTGATCGGTTTAATAAAGGGTGATTAATATTAGTTTTTTTAAAAAAAAATAAAACTAAAAAATTCTCAATGCTTACTTCCGATTCATCATTTATTCCAGGATTCTGGAGTACTTCAATATCTGCAAAAAAAGAGGTAAGTAAAAAAATATATAATTTTTTTTACATTAATTTTAAATTAAACTTATTATTAATCTAGGATTCCAAGATTTTGGAGGAATTCGATATCTACAAAAAGAGGTAAGTAAAAAAAAATTATATTCAAGGATTCCGGAGAATTTTTGTCATCTAAAATAAAAAAATATATTATTTCTTTTTTTTATTTTAATTATTTTAAAAGAAAAAATTAAAATTACCTCCGATTCATCATTCAATCCAGGATTTCAAGACTTCGAAGGCTTCAAAGTATCTACATCAAAGATAAATTACGCGTTCGATGATGCAGGTGCCGATTGTTTCAACGTCGTGCAAATCATTGTCATTGTTGTTTTTGATGATGATCAATACTGATGTATAAATAGACTTTTTTTTTTTTTTTATCAATGTACCAGTTTATTTTTTTATAATGAAAGCATACATACAACCATCATTATCATCAACAACATTTATTCATCGTGATGAAATACTAACATTTAGGTTCTATATATTATCTGCAGGAGAATACTCCGCGTCGTTGACAATACAATTATGGAATAACCTAAAAGAAGCTGGTTGGAATGGTATAAACTTTACAGAAAAAAGTGATGAAGTGATTTATGGGTGTGAGCAAGAAAAATATCGTGTATTTGAAGTAGAAGTTGGTACAGATGTTGAAGAAGGGTGGTATGAATTTACAGTTAGAGTACATAGTTCAGTATGGAGTAATAATGAAGAATGGAAATGGTTAAGCGAGGGAGAAAACCAAAATGGAAGAATTTTTATCGGAAGATCAAAGGAATGCATGCTAAATAAAGTTTCTATTTCTGCAAAATCTTGGAACTTGAAAGGAATAGAAAGTATTTTTGATGAAAATGAGTTTAGTCACATAGAGAAATTACAGACAGGTAATAATACTCACGCTGATAGTTGGTGTACGTCAATGAGCATGATTTTATCCAAAGAGTACTTTGTTTATAAAAATTTAGGTAGACCTAAGGAGTTTGTCAGATATTTTGGATTAAAGAGAATGACAAATTGGTGGTTGGTTCCGACATCTGGAAGCGATAAATTAAATATTTCATCAAAAGATGTTCAATACTTAATTATACAACAAGCATCAGGACATTTTGTAGTATTAATTCCTTTGACCAATGAGAATTATTATAGTTCACTTAATTCAAATGACAGTGGAGAATTGATAATAAAATGTGCAATTAATAATAGTAAATGCGACAAAGAAGTTGAGGTTAAATTAGTTATAAGCAGAGGGTGGGATTTAAGTGAATCGGTGAAAACTTGCATGGATGCGGCTAAGAAAATAACGTTTTGGGAAGATACTAAAAATGAAGCATCACGTATTAGTAGCAACGGAATTTCTTATTATGATAAATTAGGATATTGCACTTGGAATGCTTTTTATGATAATGTTAGAGAAGATGATTTGTTACGAGCGTTAAGGTCTTTGCATAATGTCGGAATACAAATTGGATATATTATATTAGATGATGGATGGCAACAAATCAATAAGAATAGAGAAATGCAAGGATTTGAAGCCAATCTAGAAAAGTTTCCTAGTGGATTAAAAGGATTAATTAATAAAGTAAAGAAAGAATTTCCTTATGTTGAAAACTTTGGCGTATGGTGAGTATACGGATAACAATCATCAGTTAAAAAATTATTTTTGTTCTAATGTTGTTTCTCTTTTTATCTTTTGACAGGCATACATTATGGGGATATTGGAATGGAGTAGATCCATCATCATTTTCCACACAATACAGTATTCGCAAGACCTTATATCAAATCGTTAAGACAGCTCATATAACTTTACCAAAAGATATATGTAGATTTTATAATGATTTTTATTCATACTTGAAAGAACAGGGTGTTAACATGGTTAAGGTTGATTTTCAAGCGTGCTTTGATGATATTATAGAACATGATGAATGTAAATGGTGGTGGGTTGATTATCAAAAAGCTTTAACAGAATGTAGCAATAAATATTTTAATCAAAAAATTATTTATTGTATGGCTCATAGTCCTTTCGTCATGCAAAATACGTTATCAAATAAAAATCTTTTAAGTGGAGATTTCAAACCCCTTTTCAGAAATAGTGATGACTATTATCCAGATATTGAAGAATCACATTCGTGGCATATTTATACTAATCTTATGAATAATTTGTTTACGATGCATTTATATAGTATACCAGAATGGGACATGTGTCAGTCTTATCATAAGTATGGGGAGTATCATGCGGCTGCCAGAACAATTAGTGGTAGTCCAATGTATATTACTGATATACCGGATCATCATAATGTGGAAATATTAAAAAAATGTTTGGTTAAAACACCAAAAAATACCATGCAATTATTGAGATGTGAACAATCTGCCGTTCCATCTGGAAATACAAATGATTTATTTGTGGATTTAACTAAGGTTGATAAATTATTGAAGATTTTGAATATGAATGGTAGGATTCGTGTACTGGGATTATGGAATTGTCGAGACAAGGATGTAATCGATCACGTTAACATTAGGGAGAGCTTGAGGTTTGGGAAGTATTCTATGAAAGGAAGTGAGAATGTGAAAGAAGATATTGTAATTTATTTCGTAAAGAATAAGGAATTAGTATCTTTGAAGAAGGAGAGTATAAATGTTATGGTTAGAAAACAATCCTTTGAAATAGTTTTATTTATACCTGTGGATATATTAAATTTAAAAAATTACTGTTTCAAGATAGCCTGTATTGGATTAATTGATAAATATAATGGGAGCAATGCTATATTATCAAATGAATTTAAAAAAATTCATAATAAAGCTGTTTATCACGTTGATTTGGTTGGATATGGAGAATGTGGATTTTATTTATGGTGTGATCAGGGAAAAGTCGTTAATATTAGAGTCTATTCAGATGATGAAGAAGTGAAGGATAACAATATAAAGTATGAAGAGGAGAGGAATATGTTAATTGTTCATTTAGAAAATAATGGGAAGAAATCTGAGAAAGATAACATTAAATTAAGAATTGAAATAAATCTTGATTAATATAAAAGATTTTGGATTATGTATTTTAATAAAACTTTTATTTATTTATTTATATTCCTGCTTTACCACCAGATAAAAATATTATATAAATAATCATTATTTTAAAGATTATTTTAAATAATTAAAGTATTTATTAAAAGAACTTTTTTTACTTAAGTATTAAAATCTTCTTATATAGTGATTTAATATGTAATAAATCATATCATTATTAATTTGATTTTACT